GTTTTGGCGGGAAACAAACCAAAAATCTCTGACCGCGAAGCATGGCACTCATTCGGTTCTAATACATGAATTAACGTTAAACAGGGCAAGCCTTGATTACGGTGCAGGAAATGACAAAATACGACAAGGAAATGCATAACAAGTAAAATTTAGATGTAGATATCGATATAAGCATACTTGCTATCACTGAAAGCTATAAAATACTACCGTTGAAGTATTAAATTAAAGTCAAGTTATATAAATTTCTCTGCGACCTGAGAGGAGAAGCGGGCGATGGAAGATGAAGATGTTATATAAATTTTTTTGTAAATATGTTTTATTAAAACATTGAATTATTTGAAACGCCAACAAGGAAGAATTGAATTATTGCAAGCAGGTGAATTTATTAAGTCCCTCCCGAATCATAGACAACTTTTCATGTTAACACCGAACACAATATAATAACAGTGGGGGAACTATTTGATGCAGTTGCTTTAGCAGGCTACAAATGAATATTGAGAATACCTGGATCACGTTCGACGGGAAATTAAAAAAAACAAGTGAAAATTGATGAAAACAACTCGCTCACATTTACCAGAGATGACTTAATTCAGAGGAAGAAAACAAGGCTAATATATCAACACAAAGCAATAAAAAATATACAAAACGGTTTATAGCGCAAAGCAAGCATTTAAGCATTTAGACGTGTGTAAGTGGTTTGAAAGGAAGCTGTTTTTGTAAATGAATGAAGTCGTCTTCTGCAGAATTCACCTATGTAGAGTTATATGTTTTTGATCATATAAGCGGAGAAAGAGGCCATTTTGATCTGATGACAGTAAGAAGAAATAAGTTTAAATGAAAACTGGCTGGGTGAATTGCAAGAAGTAGTTTTTATCATTGAACGGATTGTACTTAGCTGGGCCAGTCGAAGATAAAATCAACAGAAAAGCAGCGAGTAGAGTCAATATGATCCAAGCCCTGCCGAAATGAGCATGTGCAGATAAAGCGCTTTATTAAGTACAATATTCATTCAGTTTAAGAGAAAGACTCATGAATCTGCCTCGCTTTATATTAATGCTTCTTCTCTTAGCGTTGTTGAATTTTGTATATTTTGTATTTTGTTGAACTTAAAATCACTGAAAACTCTACACTCTGAAGTATTTCTTCATTAATGGCATTTGTGTAACTTGTCAGAAAGTTCGCCGAGAACTCTTAAATGACGCAGATCATTTCGCAGATGAAGATGATCATATAGCGTAAATCGATTGACCGAGTGCATAGTTCAGACACTAAAATTCAATTTCAGAGAAAATACATTACGACCACCAGGCATATAACTGCGGAGAACGATCAACGTCAATAATTTCAGCTTTTCGAATTAGAGGTGCATGTAAAAGTTACAAACGTGTTGCTAGATTCAAATGAAATCATGGCCTTGAACAAGCAAATATTTTTTAAGCGAAAGCCCTTGAATCAAATTGGACATGACATCAATAAGCTGCACTGCATAACAGCAAAAATGTAAGAAGTACATGCATGTGATATGCAGAAGAAGTAATTGAATTGAAATATTTGTCCTTGTAATTCTCTTGTAGAGGAAACACCACCAATGTCAGAATCAATTGCGGAATTGGTAGAATTTTGTTAAGAAAGCCAAGGGAAGCATAAAGTCGCTAGAAGTTAGCAGCTGTCCGATGAAAGAAATTGAGAATCTGTGATTTACGTTAAAGCTGATTAGTTCTCTTCATACGCGAAAAATTCAGCACTCACTCAAATGCATGAGAACAGTCGATCATGATTCTTGATGCCGTCAGGGCTCACTCTGCAGCATAGTTGCAAGAAAAAGTTACATTCTCGTATTTCCATCGCATAATGAACCACAACCTTAAAGTTTGAAAGCGGAACCAAGTAGGTGAATGATCAACCAATCGTTAGAAGCGAGAAATTTGTCGAAGAAGCTGTTCGATGTGATCGCTTCTATAATGATCGTCATTATGTTCAGCCATTTTCGATCCACTGCTGGATGAAAGCATGTCCAAGACTTTGCCATAAGTTTTTATTTTCTGTGATTCTCATTCATCATGATCGAATAAAATTCTTCAGCTCGTTCTGCCGTCGATCTAGAGGTCGTCCTTCTGTCGATGTACCTCCTTTAGGAACCCAGTCTATTGTCTCTCAGATTCACTGATGGTCGGTTATACTGCAACGATTTATTGCCATTTCAACTTCTTCACTTGGTAAGTAACACCACAGACATATGTTTGTGCTCATTTATTCGTTTTTCTACTTTTTGTTGTTTCAACATGCACTTTTCCTTGGTACGCGCATATTATGCTGTGTGTGAAGGACTAGCAGACTTAGGGTCTACATTTAGCTTCCACAAACAGTGATCGAAGTCTCTCCTATCAAGCACAAGCGCAGTTATCGGATAAAAACATTTTTCGTATAGTAAAAGTGC